AATAGATGTAACTACATAAATATACAATAAAAATTTAGATTATTCTGGAGACTTTAAATTTGAAGAAATCTTTGGTCGGAATTGTCATGTTTCCAAGGAATCACCCATATAATATATATATATATATATATATATACATATATATATATATATATACATATATATATATATATATATATATNTATATACATATATATTCATCCAGAAACTGGCTAAATAGAAAATTTAACTCAAGAGAAAATGGTCAGAAAAATGGTCAAAGCTACCAGAATGTGGTAAAATTAAATGTCTGGCTGTATGGGAACACCAAAAGCACGGTAATAGCAGGATTGCTAGCATCACAGTACCAAAAAAAAAAATTTGAGAAATCAATCAAGAGTGGAGAAATCAATCAATTAAAAATTCATCATCAATTATAATTTTATTCGAAAATAACTAGTGCATCAAAGTTGTAATCTAATCTCAGAACTATGTCTCTATACCTTAAAGATTAATTGGCACTTCTATTTATAGATAAATTTAAAGAAAACTCTGCAAAGAATTTCCCGGATCATTGGTTAATAAATATTTTTGCTCATTTACATCTAGAAAATTCTGGAAGTGTTCGAAGCACAAAACTGGTAGATATCAAGAGGTTGATATATAGAGAGAGATACACTTAAGAGCTCAAAATATAAAATAACAAAGTGAAAATGCTTAAGTGAATAATGGGTAAAGCAGAATGAGGTAGAGATAAAAAACGTTCGACGAACATCATCACAGTAAATTTACCGAAATACTTTGCAACAACTTTTTGGTATAATTAACAGTAAAATATTGTATTATTACCATACTGTAAGGTAGTAAATGCGGTAAAATTTTGTAATTTTATACAGATATTTTTCAACTGGTAATTTCAACAGTTGTAAAATAATTTGAGATATGCAAAAATGTTCATTTTGATAACCTTTATTGGCGGTTGTTAACTTTCTTTTTGTGAGTTAATTGTTTTTCATTCCTATGTAAGCAATAAACTAATATCTACCAACCTTAAAAGCTGTAAAAAATATGTATTTATAATCATAAAAATAGCTGGACAAGGGTAAATTAAATCAACTTAATTGTTTTTTACCGTGTCTTACCTTTTACTTATCATAGCACTCTCGACATCCTAAAATGAAAGTGTATATGTTGTGGATTCGAATCACACAATATTTGTTTTGAATTCTGTCGGCGTGAATTTTCGCTATCTTTGGCTTGCTAAATAATTTGCAAATTAGAAAAACTCACTTCTGCGTCAAGAACCTAATGCATGTGTTGGTCGTAACATGCATGTAGTATATCCATCACTGCAAAAATATAATTCCAATTCACCAGTATATAAGAAAGTTGACATTATCGAAATCTACCATCCCCACGTTGGTGACCCGGACGTGATGCGAACACGCAACCTTCTGATCTTCATCTGTTTAAATCACCAGTTTGTGGAGGAATACTTTTTGTCAGAAATAAGTAGACGCACTTCGTATTATAAAATATAATATATTAAACAACCTTGAATAATAATAATAAAATACATATTAAAAACAGGAGAATTAACATAAAGCAAAAAGAAAACATTACCGTAAACCGGGGCGAGTCTACCCATCCAGGGGCGAGTCTACCCATTTTAGTTTTATTTAATTTTCACTATTTTAAATTACAAATAAAAAAATTTTTACCGACGGAGGACTTAGTTCAGACTCTAAGGAAGATGGCGCTGTAGTAGTTTGATCCATTTTTATTTATTTGGTGTCTTTTTAACCGACCTGTTCAAACGTCTTTTGAGAGATTTGTATTGAAAATCAGCAAACTTTTAGTTGGTGCTCCATAAGTATATTATTATTATTACTATTTTCACTTTGGTTAAGTGATAAACTTATCTAAGACTAAGATTACATTAATTTTATATGAAAAAAAACAAAAAGAATGTAAGTTTTGCTGTTGTAAACAAAAAGCCAGAATTCGCGGGGCGAGTCTACCCATTCGTATTTAGTTTTAATAAAGCATAATAATATAATTTAGAACTTTGTTTATATTAAAATTAAGTCATTTTAAATGAATTTGAGTATATTATTTTAATTCTGCATTGATAAATTTATCATTAATAAGAAAATTTATAGGTTAAATATAAATGTAAATATAAAATATGTTTATTTTACCTATTTTTTCAATTTTTATATTACAAAATTAACTTTTTTTATTTAATGCAAGTTAAATAAATTATTATTTATAAATTATTATTACCTCCCAAAAGAATGGGAAAAGGATTTTTCATGATTCCCAATGTTTGAATTTCGATTTTGTTAATAATCTTTAATTATTATTATTTATTAATTATTTAATTGTAAATTTATATTAATTTTAATTTATTTTTATCAACAATAATCAGAAAAAAATGTTATTTTATAATGTTAATGATTATAAAAACAAAACTGTGATCAAAATGTGATAATCGATCAAATACTCAATTTGTGTTATTTTATGAATAAAAAAATGGAATATATAATAAAGTTATGAATTTTACTTCATAAATATCCTATATAGTAACTAAAATAACAATTTAATAGTAAAATTTGATTATTTACAATGTTAACATTCATTTTAGTAGAATGGGTAGACTCGCCCCATACGAGAGATTTGTCAGCAGTTCTATAAAAATATACAGTAACAGCGTAACTGTTAATATTTTCTAAAATCGATTTCACAGCTTTAAAGAGGGATAAATAGCGATTCCGAAACACCTATTAAAAACCTTTTTTCTTTAAAATTTACGAAAGTTTGACCACTTGAAAGTTGACAAACTGAAAAAATGTGTAGACTCGCCCCGGTTTACGGTAGTTCCTTTTTTGTGTTCCTTATTGCTATGGGATACCAGACTGGAAGCGTTGAGTTGTAGACGGCAGGTCACCACAATGCATTTAAAACCATTTGTTTCAGTACTGAAATCATTCAGTAAATACATTAAATATATTTAGTATTCATTCACCGAGTAAAAAAAAGTATTCACCATGTTTTCGCCTTTATGGGCTCGGTCACGAAGAGCTCGGTAATTTTCCTCGGAGAGGTTTTGTTAAATTAACTATAAAATATGATTTCTTCGTGTGTGATAAAATTTGATAAATATGGTAAAATGTGGTAAATGCGGAAAAATTTGGGAGTTTTAATATGATACTGTAGAGCACAGCACAAAATCACTTATTTAGTTAATTTATTTCTCAGTTTTGTATTTTTTACCAAATGAAGAAAGCCTACAATTTTTAAAACCAGAATTTTAGGTGAACCCTTACTACATAAATGGAAAAAATACCAAATGAATGGTTTAAAACTAGAACGAGGTATGGCGGAAAATTAAATTGACATTAAAAGGTCGAAACTTTGGACCACTCTCCTGAACGAACCATTGCTACCATATTTTCCAAATTGCGGTTATATTTTGGGAGTCAGAAATCCGAATCTGTAAAACAATAGTATGCTTATTTAAGGTTTTGTGTGTGATTTCGACACTTAAAATATCATCTGCAGTAATTAATCAGAATATTAAAGGTCATACCCCTCAAACCATTTAGATTTAGTCCAAGTAAGTGATCATTAGATCAAAAATTGTCCAATGTGCTCCGTTTTTTATTTTACGCACATTACAATATTCGAAATCTTAAAAATTCAGAATTCTAGCTGAGAAAATCAAAATATATGGCATTCAAATTATTCATTTGGAAATTTCTCTGCTCATGTGGTAACGGTTTATCGAAAATTCTGCTTTTATATATTATAGCTCTTATAAACACAATTCAATTAGTAATTTTGTAAAAAATACTAATTGAAAAGTAAATTTTTCCGAACAAATGGTTATTATACCATGTTTTAAGGTGTAATGAAATTATTAAATTTTATAATATAAAACCATATTTTACTGTTAATTTTACTATAATTATCAAAGCTTGTCGGTAAAAGTTATCGTGCATTTTACTATTCCCATAAATGCCAGAAACATGGTATATTCTATCATATTCTTGGAATTTTGACCATATTGTTTTTCTCAGTGTAGAAATGTTTAGGATTACCAAAGGAATTTTGACCAAAATAATTCATTATTTAATAATAATTAATTTTTTCCTTTACAGGGAGACGATAGAATCTTTTTGAACTGCATATTTCCTACTGAACGACCAGAGTTCACGATTAAACAGTGATGTAGCTTCCATCGGAGATTTGAAGTAGTATCCTTGCTGTCGTAGTAGTGACATACTGTTACATCAAATTCATACCAGATTTATAGATAATTTACTTAGCGCTAAAAATATTTGGAAACTACTCTATCGTCGGATCAGTTAAACGGACTGAACAATGTTTAATGTAAAATAGTGATAGAAATGAAAAAAAGTAATGAACCAAAAAAAATTGAGTTTAAAAAAATTTATAGTGTTTTCCAAAGAATTACTTTTTGTATTGATGTTTTGAAATTTAATATTTTTTGCTGTGTTGTAATTTTTGATTAATGAAACTGTACGTTTGAAAACATCCTTAGAAAAACTCCTTCTTTTCTGTTTCGGTCAAAGATGCTTTAATAATAAATTATCGTTACGAAACTCAATTTTCAATTTGAAAATCAAATCAAAATTTAGAAGACAACCCTGAATCTTATCCATTCAATCGATAAAATCATAGACTTTTGTAAAAAAAAAGTATTGCACTGATGCGTGTTCTTTTATAATCCCCTTCCTCTATAAATGTTTTCGAAATCCTTGTTAAAAATTTAACTAAAAAAAAGCAAGATGTTCTGCAAAGACTACCTTTAATATGCACTTTTGAAAACCTTATTTAAATGTTCGCAAAAAGGATACACTTCAAGGGTCGCATAATGATGTTTAAGCGAGGAAGAAACAAAAAGGCTTTAACAAAATGACAAATCGCAATAGTACAGGAAGGTGGATGTAATAAGCAACAAGACTGGTTAGATTGAGAGAGGAAACGAAGAGGTNCTTCAGCATGCAAAGCTTTCTCTAGTAAAGTTAGTACAGGTAATTGTATTTAGGAAGGAGATACATGCATTAAAAAATAAAAAAAGATTGAAGGACAGCCACGTAAGTAATTTAAATCCTTTTCTTGATTCTAATGGTTTAGTTAGAGTAGGAGGCAGAATCAACAATTCGAATTTATCTTATGATCAAAAGCACCCATTGCTAATTCCAAGAGATCATAAAATAACTACTTTAATTTTCCAGTATTTTCATTTAAAAAATTTGCATGTTGGTGCGCAAACTTTGCTTCATTGTGTTAGACAAGAGTTTTGGCCCCTGAATGGTAGGAACACTGCTCGAAAAATCGTTCACGATTGCATAACATGTTTCAAAGCCAAACCTAAGATAGAACAGCAAATTATGGCTTCTTTACCGAAAGAAAGAGTTACCATAAGCCCCCCTTTTTCAAAAACTGGCACCGATTTATGCGGTCCTTTTCTTATTAAGTATAAAAATCAGCGGAAGGGAATCTTAAACAAAATCTATGTTGTAATTTTTGTATGTTTAATTACTCGTGCCATTCATTTGGAAATAGTAAGTGATTTGACAGCAGAAGTAATAATTGCCACCCTTAAAAGGTTTTTCGCGAGAAGAGGTCTGCCTTCTATTATATTTTCCGATAATGCCACAAATTATACTGGTGCTCAATCTGAATTAAGAAAATTGCATGATCTTGTTAAAAATTCAGAAAATCTTACTTCTTATTTATCCCATGAATTCGTTGTTTGGAAATTTATTCCTCCCAGATCGCCAAATTTGGTGGCATTTGGGAGGCGGGAGTTAAATCTTTTAAGCACCATTTGAAAAGAACTATTGGAAACTCTAAATTAACATTAAAGGAATTTTTAACGGTTATAAACCAAATTGAAGGTGTATTAAACAGTAGACCACTTCTTCCCCTTTCTTCGGACCCCAATGATTTCGAGACCCTAACTCCCAGTCATTTTTTAATTGGGCGACCCATAAACAGTATTCCAGAATTTCCTGTGGCAGACATTCCTGATAATCGACACTCTCGGTGGCAAAGGATACAAAAAATCAATCAAACTATTTGGAAAAAATGGTCAAGAGATTATCTAAATAATTTACAGCAAAGAAGTAAATGGTTATTCGAAAAAAAAACAATGTTAAACCAGGAACACTAGTTTTAATTAAAGAAGATAATCTACCCCTTTGTTCATGGATTATTGGTCGTATCCACGAGGTTATCCCTGGAAATGATGGAAAAATTCGAGTTGTTATTGTAAAAACTGCACAAGGTTTCTTTAAACGCAGCATATCAAATATATGCGTTTTACCTATCAATGAGTCTACTAGTAATTAGTTTTCATGTTTATTTTTTTTCATTGTTGTCATAAAGAATGTGATTCTGTGCATTTAATTTTGCTTTGAAAAATATTATGTTATTTGGTTATTTAGTCATTAATTTTAGAACTTTTTTTATCATTTGCATTATAAATTGTCATTTATTGTTGTATATGTATTTGTTTCAAATGGATATTTCAAAGCCGGGCGGTATGTTGGCGCCTCTATCGGCTTTGGTTTCGTTTATCTTTTCATTTGGCGAAAAGAAGAGCTCTTGTTGTTTTTGTTTTTGATATCGTCAGACGTCTTCAAATGGCGTCATTCATCGTTTGTTAATAAATTGTTATGTAGTTATCGTTTGTACTTAATCAATCGTAATATACAGTCCGCATATCGACCCCTCAACAATCACCCTACTACAAAAAATTGTTCATAGATAATTAAAAGTAATTTTAAAAAAGTAGCCGAGTACATCTTGGTTTACATACTGAATGGAAATTTCTTTCTATTTCCTATCACTTAAACTTTAAAAAACATTGTGCTATGACTTGAGATCTAAATGTTTTTATGATTAATATATTATGCTAAAGAAAACAATTTTTTCTTTGCAAATTTAATCTTAATAATAAAGCACTTGAGCTAATTTTTTTCTTTTTTAGTGGAAAAAAATTGGTTAAAATTGTTGCAAAAATAATAACAATAGAGACACGAAAAAACTGTATGTTCCTACTTTTGAAACTCATTAATTTCATTTTCGGTTGAAAGTTTTTGCTATTAAATATATGCATATATTTTTCGGTTGATGTATTTTTTACATACAGGAAATATAAACAGAAAATTTGAAAATGACTAACAAAAGATATAATTTCAGTTTAGGGTTTCGATCGAGCGGTGTATTTTAAGCATTATATTTCTTTCGATGGCGAATATTTTTTTTTCCAAATCTCTCGGGTGTCATTTTCTTTTTGAAACCATATAGAAGTTTGAAAGACTTCTATTATGAAAAATTCAGGTGAATTTATCATTCCGAAATTTAAATACCCCTAAGTGAACCAGTGAACATTTCGACTAAAAATGGAATCTAGATTTACTTCTATAAAAATAGAAGCTAAAAATATATTATATATGTAGCTTTTAAGAATATACCTACCAGGAAATAGTCCTTAATAATGAGAATTAAATTAATGGTAAAAAAAAAAACTTCATCAGATATTGCTAACTAGTTCTACTCATGATGTATTTAGTTCACGCAGTTTTTTATATTAACTACTATAATTTAGACAGTGGGCAAATACTGTATTTAATCTAATCAGATTTTCATTAATGAAACTTGGTCAATTTTACAAATTGAAGCTAAAGCTAAGTAAATCTAATTAATTAACAGGTTGTACTCTAATTAACAATTATTGTCCTTCAAATCATTCAGAAACGTTTAATTGCGAAAAAAGAAGCATTACTACCTTCGTATTAGAATTTTTTTTTAAAAAACTATTTAAATCGTAAAATGAGTAAATCAATAATTAAATATTTTATTAAATCATTGATTTATTAAATTTGCAATAATATGACTAACTTATCAGATATTGCTAACTAGTCCTATTCATGATGTATTTAGTTTACTCAGTTTTTTTATATTCAATACTATAATTTAGACAGTGGGCAGATACTGATTTTAATCTAATCAGATATTATTTATTTAATGAATGTTAGTCAGTTTTACTAATTAAAGTTAGCCTATATAAAGCTATTTAGTTAGCAAGTTGTACTCTAAATAACAATTACTATTACAAAACCCCCGGTTAATGATTTTTGAACTAAACGAGTTACACATTGCGTGGAATTCAAAAGTATTTATAAACCACTTCAAATGCTGAATTATTTTTTACCAATAACCTGTCAGAAGTGCTTTCGACTTTATAAATCATCGATAGAACTTCAACCGAAATCATCCCATCAAGTGATAAATATTGATCTTAAAATTGATTTATAGAGCACTGAGGAATAGATTTTTCGCTTTCTCTACTGTTCTAATTTTGTACCTTTGCTCTAGCTGAATATCGTTTTTTTCTTCAGAATGTGTGAAGTTTGTATTAATTTAAGAGATCCATTATTTATTTAAAATTTCATTTGTTATTCAAGGCTAAAAAACTTATAAATCATACTTAGACGAATACTTGATTTGATCTATAATCATTTTTATCTGAAAATAAAAGTTTAAAAATGATATTAAGAGAACATTCATAAAATAGTTTCAATCAAATGTGCAAAATACAAAAAGTGTTTAGCTCATACAACATTAATTAAAAAAAAGAGAGAGACACAGAGAGATATGAGAGTAAGTTTCATACAGTTAGCTATTTTTATATTATTGATTGGTATTTTATAAGCAGGAGATGGGATTTACCAATTTTGGACTTAATGTTCATTCAGAAATGCTACCAATGTATTAGATGAAAATGTAAAAAGATGAGAAAAACTATTTTTCTAATCTATTTGCGTTCTTATTTACTTACGTGAAGGTAATTTGCTGCTCTCCATACCTTTGCAGCAATTAAAATTATGATTCTTTTTATCAAGCTATCTTTATTGTACGTACTAAACTTACTAAACTGATCAGTATTTATCTAAGAGCTAATAAACATTTAAAGAAATTGTTCCATGCTTGATAGCAATTAAGTACATTGTATTTTTCGTAATTCTTTGCCCTTTGGGAAATAAATCAATATCTTCTATTATTTAACTTCTACTAACTCAAATATATTTTGTCTAAGATATGAGGAAACTAGTATATATACGGGTTGCATTACATATTATTTAACAATCAAGTTTGCAATCTAAATTAAAAGATAAATGTTATGAAATAAATTGTTATTATCTAACTAATTATTAGGTTTAGTAATACTCTAAAGATGGTTAAATTTAAAAAAATATTTAAATGCATAACATGTAAAAAAAACTTGGAATATAGAGCATTTTATCAGCATAGCTGCCAATATGGATAAGATTCAGCAGATTTTACAAAATCTAGTATATATATAATTCTCCTACGTGGCTCCCAAATTTTTACTGTATTTCTTTTCCGCCGGAGGCAACGTTTGCTTTGTTTTGTTTACGT